CAGGTCTGGTTTTCTGCTACGTACTGACTAGCAACCAGCAGCTTCTCTGTAGGACAGAAGGCAGAATTTACTGTCTCCCGCCTTCTGGTAGTCAGACGTGTTGGTGATGGACGGAGGTGCCCTCCAGAGTGCCCTGTTTTCTCCCTGTATTGCACCATCAGCTCATACCTAGTGCAGGAGCACCACTGCTTCTCTGGAGATTAGCACTGCAGCAGCCTCAGGTACCCAAAGCATAGTGGGGCTGCAGACATGTGGAGAGGAAGGAAGGGAGGTAGGCCCTTCATGCCTCCAGGGCTCCTGCACCCCTTGTTCATTCCATTTGCTCATGTCCTACCCAAGAACAACCTGTTACCATAGATTCTCTCCAGAGAGCATGGACCTTGGAGCGTCCCTGTGCTTCCTGATTAGCATACAGCCTTCCAGTTTCCCCACCTCTCTGGAAACCTTAAGCGCTTACATACCCCTTTATTCCAGCACTTCCTGAGTTGCAAGGTAATCATGGTTTTACTTGTTAGGGTCTTACTAGACGGTGGGCTTCCAGAGGGCAGGACTCTGTCTTGTTTTTTGTAGCTCCCATCTCTGTACCACCCCAGTGTCTAGTACGTAGGAGGCGTAAACACTGTTTGAAAGAAGGTATCTGTAAGTTTTATTGACAGAACTCATTCCTTCAGAGTAACTAAAATATATTTTTAAATCCAGTTTTATTGAAAACATCAGTTGTCTTAAAATTATAGAGGATTTCCCCCTTAAAATTATGGAGGTTTTCTCCCATTTTGCATTTCTGCAATGAACATGTATTACTTGAGTAATAATTTTTAGACGGTGACAAATCATCATCTAAGCTGGGGCCCATCCACTGCATGCAGGCTGCCATGGTAACAGCACCTGTTTCTGTGGATGCCCACTCTCCAGGGTCCACGCGTGGTCCTGAACCCTAGGCTGTGCCTCTTGTAACAGAATGCCCCAGTGTCTGACAGGAAGCACTAACAGCCTGCCAGACACGGAGGAACACCCAACAGAGGCCAGGAGCTGCCAATTTAAACTCAGTGCTTCTGCTGTAGTAACTCAAGTAACCCTGTTTAAACCAGGACCGACCTATGCTGACAACCATTTTTACCACTCTTGGTGGTGTTTTCTTTGAACATGCATGCATATTTCTGCTGTAATGGCCTGTGGCGTTTGAGAGTACATTCTGCAGTCTCCTTACTGTACGTCGTTGTATTCCAGACCCACCAGCACTCAGAACAGCAGCCGTGTGTAAAGGCGGGCACAGGCACTCCAGATGCAAGGACCTCACTGACGCAGTTAGCTCAGGTAGAACTTTTCTTTGTTCAGTTTTCTTGTCATCAAAAACAGTGACCCCTAAGAATCCGTAGGCCGTTGTTCACTCCTTTGTTTTAGAAGAGAAACCTAAAGCATTACTCTAAAAGATGATAAAGACAGACAGGCCATTTTTTTCTACCCCTTGCTGAATAAGTTTTATTACAGGAAGTTGTGAGATGAGACACGATGGCTGCAGGCACACAGTCAAGGTCTACCCTCCTAAGGAAATAGGAAGAATGGTTGACTGTCCAAGATAGAAAATTTAATCACCACTTTCCCAAAAAGAATAAATGGAGGACTTCATTGTAATTTTGGAAATGAAATTTGGGAACTATTTTAAGACAAATACCAAAATGAATGTGGATTCAGATCTACAACGATTTCTTTATGGGCAAATTGTTAGTATTAAGCTAAGGACGTGTAGAAACCCGGGAGGATTCAGCTGTTACCACAGAGGTGCTTTCAGATAGCCCCTTGCCCCCAGCCAGAAAAAACTCTTCATTCAAACCGTGGTTGGGTGATGTCTACCCTCCTGGGAGCTCTGCAAGGGCTTTGTCCTCCCCCTCACTGCATTCCTCATTGCAGGTGTTCAAGCCAGCAACTTCTGCTTTCCACAGAATTCTGTGTGAATTTCATCAGTATTCAAGTATGAATTTAATTTTATCTATTTTTTTGAGGCAGGGTCTTACCGTGTTGCCCAGGCTGGAGTGCGGTGGCATGATCTCGGCTCGCTGCAACCTCTGTCTCCCGGGTTCAAGCGATTCTCCTGCCTCAGCCTCCCGAGTAGCTGGGATGACAGGCACATGCCACCACTCCCAGCTAATTTTTGAATTTTTAGTAGAGATGAGGTTTCACCACGTTGGCCAGGCTGGTCTCAAAGTCCTGATCTCGTGATCCCCCCACCTCAGACTTCCAAATTGCTAGGATTACAGGTGCGTGCGAGCCACTATGCTTGGCCGAATTTTCTTTTAATCCATCTGCCTAACTGTGCTATCAGTAGTGCCAGAAAGTCTTAGGAAGACCAAGACTAAGAATAAATTAACAGATTAAGAGGGCTCTGTGTCCATCAGCAGGACAGACTGAATAAAGCCCATATTTGCATTGGGGTTAGGGTCTAACTGAATCGGAGAAGCTGAGGACAATTGAGCTGTCATAAAATAATAAGCAAGGCAGGGTGTGATGTCCTTATTTAGGAAATATCAATTGCTATAAAAGGTATACCTTTGCCAAGTTTATTTACATAGTATGGAAGAACCATATACAAATGAGAAAAAGCATGAAGCTTGGCGCGCACATGTATTACTTGTTTGCTCTTATCTTTTGGACATGTCATTCTATGTAAGTCGGTAAAACTTTCTGCAAGGCAATTTAGCAGTAATATCAAATTTAATGTTATCTATAATTTCATTTAAACTACACAAATATACATATAAATTTGTACATCACACTTGTAAGAAATTGGAAACAACATAAATGTTCATTTAATAGGATATTAAGTGTGATATAACCATAGCTAGGATAAAAATCCAATTAATAAAAGGGATATAGGCCAGGCATGGTGCCAGTCCTAAGCACTCTGGGGGACCAAAGCAGGAAGATCACTTAAGGCCAGGAGTTCAAGACCAGCCTGGCCTAACGTAGTGAGACCCCCATCTCTAAAAATAAACAAATGCTGTATATCCCTATCTGTTGACATGGAAACATATTCACAATACATTGAGCTTTTTAAAAAGGAGGATACAAGACTATGATTTTGTTTCTGTAATAAGTACACTAAGTTTGGAAGGACATACACTAATATGTTAACAGTGGCTCTCACTGGAGAACAGAGGTCCATGTTACTTTCACTTTCTTCTTTATACCTTTAGGCAGAGTGTGAAAAGCTAATCTGATACTTTTAGAAAAGAAAACTTTGGTTACAGATAGTTCCCAGAGAAATGTCAGTCGGTACTTACACACTAAACCATGCTTTCCACAGAAAGGGAATAAAACCACCTACCTCACAGAATTAATGTGAGGAGTCGGTAAGATGACCGAGTCAGTGCACCGAAGTGAGCGGGCCACACAGAACCGGAGCCCGTCACTGCCATGTGGGACTGTGGATCTAGTGTTGCCACATCTTCCAAACTGTCAGGATTTTTATTTGAACTTTCCTAATATTTAAATGTTGGCAGCTTATTCAACTAGTTTTAAAACACTGAAGGTTACCAAAGAAAACATACAGATGGCAAATAAGCATGTGAAAAGATGCTCAACATTATTAATCATTAGGCAAATGCAAATCAAAACCACAGTGAGACATCCTGCCAACTTATTAGAATGCCCAAAATTAAAAACAAAAACAAAAACTGCCAATACCAAATCCTGGATGGGTGAGCAACTAGAACTCTCCTATACGCTGCTAGTGGAATATAAATGGGACAGCCACCAGAGATGACTGTTTGGCAGTTTCTTACAAAGGCAAATATACACTCACCACATGATCCAATCCCAGGTATTTACTGAAGTGAAAGGAAAACCTGTGTTCACACAAAAACCTGTACGTGAATGTTTAAAGCACTTTTATTCATAATTGCAAAAAATAAGAACACCCAAATGTGCTTCAACTGCAGGATAGATAACCAAACTCTGGAACATCCATGCGATGTAATACTTATTCAGCAATAAAAATGAACTACTGATATACTCAACATCATGGATTAATCTCAAATTTATCCATCATGCTAAGCGTCAGAAGCCAGATTCAACAAAGTATTATGATTTCATTTCTATGACATTCTGGAAAAGGCAAAACTATATGGAGAAGAGCTCAATGGTTGCCAACGGTTAAGGGTTTGACGGCAATGGTTAGCACGAGGGTCACAGAGAATATTTTTGGGAAGTGAAAGAAATGTTCTGTATTTTTATTGTGGTGATAGTTACATGACTATTTGTCAAAACTCACTGAGGGCCAGAATGAGATGCATGTGAACTAATGTGTCCTTTGGGCAGTCTGTGGCCTCTTTCTTACTTTCAGAATGCAGGTAGCACATCGTAGACTCCTCACATCCACTCTGCCACCCAAGCTGTAGGGAAGATGAACTAAGCCAGTGGAGCTCAGTTCATGGAAAGGTTTATTTCCAGTCCACAGGTTATCAGCACAGTATTCTTCATTACAGTAGAATCTCAACTTTGCAATTCATTTCATCAGTACATTTGAAATCCTTTCCTTAAGGCAACAAGTTTATTTCACATGCTATGTGTATTCAGAAAACGTATTAAAATACAAAATTCTAAACGTAATAGTAAAACTATGTAAAGAAAGCCTGTAAAGCTAATGAACACTAATTTTTGCACGTGTAGTTCCCTAATTTTTCCTGAAAGCGGTATTGCTTTCACCTGTAATCTGTAACGTTTTTTTCCGGTATCCCTGCAGACACTTCTGGCCTCCGAGGAGCTGCCCCGTGTCTATGAACAATCTGCATGGGGTGCAGAAGAATTAGGCCCCTTTCTGCGTTTGTGCCTCATGGATCAGAATTTCCCAGCATTTGTGGAAGAGGTAGAAAAGGAACTTAAAAAGCTGGCGGGGTTGAGCAATTAATTCTCTGTATACATATATATAATTAATGAACTTCAAAGTATGGAATGCTTCCTCCTAAAATTAAAGAAGATATTAGAATAAAGAGTATTATTCCAAACACCTTTTATCAATGTTTTATTTTTAAAAACAGGTGAATCCACTTTTTTATACATCATTGCACTTCAATAATTACACAAAACACAAGTACATGCATCTACAGTTACGCACCGCATGAGAACCCTGTTAGGTTATAAAATCTACCATCAACCAGTAAATCAATGTGAAAAAATACAGTGTCAAACCAAAAAGTATAACTAGAGTTGCATAGAATATCACCATGCTATAACATTTCAAGGTCATTGAAAACAAAAGAAAAATTATAAAAGTTTGCCTTGATTGAATGTACAAGAATAAGATTCAACACATCAGTGCAAAAGGATTTATGAATTTACATGACTTAACAAAAGAAAAGATCACTTAAAAAGCAATCATACGTATATACTGCAATTCATTATACCCATTCAGTGGACTGTTCCAGCTTATTAAAGTCACAGGTTAAGCCCTTAACAATGATAGGTTTCAGTTTATATTACTCATCTTTATGTACCAGAACTGCACAATTTCCTCATCTGACAACATACAATAAGGAATGAATATCAGCAGCTTAAAAATGAAACAAGCATTTATTTTGGATTTCTCCCACCCCCAAAAATATAAATATATATATATATTTATATACTGTATATATCTGTAGGTTTTGCTGTACTTTACAAAAATGTATCACTAGATGGCAGCAGTGCATTTTAGAGCTTTGCCAATTTAACAGCTGCATTAAGTAAAAAATGGCGCATGCATCATGATCGGATCCTCAGAGGACCTTTTCACTTCTATTTAAATATTTTAACAAAGGAAAAAAAGCAACATTCACAGCACATCAAGCCCAAAATAGTTTACACCTTCTACACTGAAGCATTGTTTAAAATGTACCTGGCTAGGTCACCCTTACAGGAGAGGCTAAATAAGGCATGCTTTAGACAGTCATTGTGGTGTTGCTCACTTGAAAGGGGAGAGAACCAAAGAGGTCCAAGCAGAAAATTTAGCAGGTCATGTTGCCACCAGTTTCAGGAACCTAAAGTTCTGTAAAGAAAGACGTATTTGGAAATTAAAAGGGAATATGCACTGTTACTCAGAACTACACCGTGTGCCACATACAATAAAGCTTTGGTCCAAACAGCATGCTTAGGGATGTGGTGTGAAATTCTGATCGCCACGTGCCTAACAAGATGACGTTCTGGCCTTGCTGCTGCTGCTGCCTGGCCACCATTCTTGTCTTGCCCCCAGATGTGACGTAAGCCTAGTAGACCTATGGGAATAATCTGCCTAAGAAGGTGACAATTTAATTTTCACCTCTTTGTAAAGATCTAATAGTAGCGAAAAGTGTTTATGTTAAAACATCATGTCTTCTGAAATGGCATTTATGTAAATACGTGACACAATGCAGCTGATGGCTAGGCATGGTGGCTCATGCCTGGATTCCCAAAACTTGTGGGAGGCTGAGGCAGATGGATCACTTGAGGTCAGGTGTTCAAGACCACCCTGGCCAACAGGATGAAACCCCGTCTCTATTAAAAATACAAAATTTAGCTGTGCATGGTGGCGGGCACCTGTAATCCCAGCTACTCGGGAGGCTGAGGCAGGAGAATTGCTTGAACCCAAGAGGCGGAGGCTACAGTGAGGCAAGATCGCACCACTGCACTCCAGCCTGGGTGACAGTGAGACTCCATCTCAACAATAACAAAAAGAAAGAACACACAAAAACCAATGCAGCTGAAACATGTTCCTTTCCAGTCACTAAACTGGGCAGACAGATCTGGCTCTATCAGTATCAGCTGCTCTAAAATGAACTAAAAGATCTTACAACATACATAACACAATTATTGAAGAATTTCTAACAAGGTCAACAGAGGGCATTCATTTAAATATAATTTTTAAAACTGCTAAAGGCGGCCATACTTACATTGTAAGCAGTATTAATTTGTGTTTCTCTGGCGCAAGTTTTTATCTTTGTGATTGTTGGTGGAGTTGGTTTTCCTTTGGAGGAAAAATTGTATTACATGAGTTCAACTTGGTCAATAACAACTTTTGAAAGTGTAACACATGGAAATACAGGGACTCTTTCACTTACTACCATCCCTGGTATAGTGAGAAATTTCATGGTACAGTATGAGTCCATAAGAAACATTCCTTAAGGAGCTACAGGGTGAGTATCCCTCATCTGAAATTCCTGGGATCACAAATGTTTCAGATTTTTCGTTTTTTTTTTTCAGATTTTGGAATATTTGCATTATATTTACCAGTTCCGCATCACTAATCTGAAAATCCAAAATCCAAAATGCTCCAGTGAGCATTTCCCCTGAGCATCATGTCAGCACACAAAACCTTCGGATTCTGGAGCATTTCAGATTGTGGATTTTGGTAGCAGGCATACTCAACCTGTGTATATCTCATTTTATCCTCCTTTTGACTCCCAAGCCAGAAAAAAAAAGGAAGTTTGAAAAACTTTTCTCCACTGAACACAACACAACTGTCCCTTCTTAACTGATAAAGACAATCATAAGGTGGCAGTGCTGGGCCCTCTGGTACTTAACAAATTTGGGTGCTGTCTGCCTGCCTCTCACTCTTCAGTCCAACTCTAGTGGATTCTGCCAATCTGGATTGCTTCCATACCTGCAGTACTCTCTTGGATACCAGCAATTGTTAATGGAGCTGGACAGTTTATCCAGGTTACAGTGCAGCTTCAAATTAACATGGACAAAACCGGAAGCCTCAGATATACGGGTCATTTCCCCCACATTTTAAGCATACAGAATATGCAAAATTTGAAAAAACAAAACAAATTTTGCATGGCGTTCCACTTGGTATGGCCGCTGAAAACGAGACTGCATAGCCTCTCCCGGGAATCAAATGGTCTCTAGTCAGACCTGTGTCAGGCTAAGAAATCTGCACCACAACCTTCATTTCCACTCACTGTCTTCCCCTCCGACCTTAGCTACTCCATTTGATTAAACTGCAAATAGAACATGATTCAACTGAATCCGTGTCCAATACAGTACTTACATTGGTCCAGCTGGTTCATCGTCTGCACGGTGTTCAGGTTTTTGATAATCCGTGAGAGAGAAGAGAAGAAAGGAGAAAACCGTTATATTCTGCATAAGGATTAACAGAACAGCAAACTGCAAGTGGCAATCATGGCTACTCACAGCATTTATTAAAGGCCATTCCATCTGGAGGTGCAAAACACTCATGGAGTTATTATTTCTAGATTCAAGTTTAAATGGCAGGTATGTTGTTTCAATGGTTTTAGTTAACACTTTGAATGCTTGTCATGAAAAACTGCAACTGTAGCGGACAGATAGGCTGCAACATTGTTATACTCATCTTGTCCCCAAGTTCCAGTGGTTCACTCTTAAATAGATGAGAAGACAAACCAACATTTCAGTTGTAAAATCCTGCTGTTTGTTTTCTTGTGAATGCATGCAGTTTTGGCTCAGTCCTGCAATGTGAATGGATGTGTACATTCTGTACGTTTAGCCACACATCCTCACTTCCCCAAAGGGCACTCTGTTTTTCTCGCTGGTTTTTTGTTTTGTTTTGCTTTGTAATCATTAGGAGAGTCTTTCATCTGGAGAATGAGACTGAGGAAGAGGCAACCACAATAGTTCAACCTAAATTGGGTCAGCCATGCTGGGCTATGCCAGCAACGAGTGTATGTATACCAGAGGATGTTCTGTGACACACCAAGGAAAGCTGAACAGTGCTGACATCCCTCTAGAAAAGGCTTCAGAAAGACAGGCTCACTCTTGTGCCCTGGCCAAAACCAGAAGCCAAGCCCAGAGGAGCCATAACTTTTTTAAAATAAAAAAGCTGACATATGAGTTCAAGCCTTCTTAAATTGAGGCTTTATGATTCTGATTTATAAGTCTTTCATGTTTCAACTAAGTGCAACTTGGTCCCCTTTAAGCAAAGATATACATTCACAGAAAGAATGTTTTAGAGAGACCCGCAAAGGGGAGGAACAAGTACGTGCTCTTAGTTTGTTTTAATTATACAATAGTCGGGTAGACTACATGATTCAGAACAGTTTGATTTCACTGAAGGCTTCTAGAAAAACTCTCAGCAGGATTCCACAAGGGGGCTTGGTGCACATGAAGCAGTTATGGAGATTACAGTCTCAGTGTAGGCATCTGCAGGAGCACACGTCGGGAGTAATGTCTGTCAGAGGGAGACATTGCTCCACCTGTTCCTTCGAGGCAACGGAGAGGCAAAGCCACCGCCAGCACACACAGTGACTGGAGCAAAAAAGGATTTCAAAAAAAAGAACTAACCACAAACCAATGACTCATCAGCCAAAACAATAGGCTAGCGACACACTAGTGTCCACAGGGGTCCACTACTAACAACAGTGTACACTATCAAACAGGAACAGAGAACAAACTAAGACTTAAGGACACCCAAGACATCTGTGTGCTGTGTATGCAGTGGAGAGGTACAAAGACATACCAGGTACTAAGACACACAAGCCCAGCCTAAAATCGCCCTTCACAACATCCTAATGCTCAGCATCCCGGCCAAGCCAGCTCAGCTACATGCTAGGAACTAAGCACTTAGGGGATTTAAATGGAAAGACATAGGAGCAAACTTGGAATGTTTTTAGTGCTCTGGCTGTGCACTTGAAAATACTAAATTCTAATGCAAGATAGCCGAATCAAGAATACACCAATCTACTCCCAAATTTAAAATAAAAAGCAGGGGAGGGAGAATCGCAATAGCCAGGCTAATCTTTTCAAAGCATGACACTGTAGGCACCAACCCAAGCACCTCACACCACGGGCTTTTTTCCTTTTGGAGTGGGGGTATTCCCTGGTGTCTGATTAGTAATGTCACTTTCCAGCCCAACAAGCTGGTAACATGCAAAGGGCTGCAAGGAGGTGTTTTAGCGACAGTGCCTCTGGCGTAGCTGCCATGCCTGCAAGTGGGAGCAGCTGAGATTCCCAAGGGGGCAAAATCCCAGGAGCCCCCTTCATCTGTCTCCCCAAATCCACTTTCACACTGACAAACAAAGCACCTCATGTCTCCCCACTCGCTGGACTGAACCTGCAGCACCACTCTCCCCTACAGGTCAGACAAAAAAACGACTTGACCCCTAACAGGGAAGTCAAGGGAGAGGGAAAGAACAGAATTACGGAAAAAAGATACAAAAATCAAAGTAAATGAGGAGTAAACAGCAAACTGAAATCCAAATTAGTCGTGAAAGTGAATGAAGTAAACTTGAAGAAAAGTGTTAACATTATGAACTGTGCATCGTATAGACTGAAGCGGAGATTAAACGAACTCCAAAAGCATGCATATCGCTCACTTACCACCATGTTTTAAGGGTTTGATGCAATTGAGGGGGGAAAAAAAAGAAGTCATAGTAACCGACACATATCAACATACCCCAAACCCTCAGGCCAAAGAGAGCCAGCTTAAACAAGACTGTTCTCTCCACCTCAGTGTTGCAGCCGCTGGCTAGGTGAGAGGAGGAGGACTGGGGGGAGAATGGAAACAAGGTGCTTCTGGAATCCACCTTCTCAGAGAGAAGTTCCTGGGGAGCTGTAGTACACACGGATTTCTCTACGTGTTCCATCTTCCCAACCGAATGGACTACAGCCCTCGCTCCCCTACATCCGCCTCATCATCTAGCAGGGGAGCTCTGCAATGTCTAGTAAATAGGAGATTGCCCAATACGGTATCACCTCCAAAAAGATGGCTTTAAAGGCCGAATAATGAAGAGTTGACTCTCTGGTCAAAGGTTCTTTGTCACCGCATTCATCTCACTAGAAGGTTTCATGGTATCTAAAACCAGTTAAATTTTGCCTGACCTTAGCAGGTTAGCATGAAACCCAAGAGACTAACAGTTACTTCCTATTTCCTTCCTTGTTTGGTCCTATTGCATTTTCTCCATAAGGTAACTTGTTACCGACCCAGATGGTCCCTAGTTAACAGACTAGACACTGAATGTGTGTTTTGGGTGTCATTTTAAAAGTCACATTTCTTTTCCCATATCTCTAGCCTGTATAAAGTTTCATATGCTACCAAATGTTTTGACTAACAAATAGATTTTGGAACATTAGAAACAGCTCTTCTTTTTTTTTAATTTGAGACGAAGTCTCCCTCTGTCGCCCAGGCTGGAGTGCAATGGCACGATCTCAGCTCACTGCAACCTCGGCTTCCTGGATTCATGAGATTCTCCTGCCTCAGCCTCCTGAGTAGCTGGGATTACAGGTGTATACTACCATGCCTGACTAATTTTTGTATTTTTAGTAGAGATGGGGTTTCGCCATGTTGGCCGGGCTGGTCTCGAACTCCTGACCTCAGGTGATCCACCCGCCTCGGCCTCCCAAAGTGCTGGGATTACAGGCATGAGCCACTGCACCTGGCTAGAACAGCTCTTCATTCTTAAGTATCTAAAAGAGCTTGGATATATCAGAGCCACTAAAAATGGCCCCCAAAAAAGTTCAGTGAGTCTGAAATGAACTATAGGTGTATCCTGATAATAAAGTGCCTATTTGGCAGAGAAAAAGCATGCCAGGCCTATTTAAAAAATTCCCAATTTCCTAATGGCATAAAAAATCCAATACAGAGGCACAGATGGTTATCTGATAAACACTTACCACCTCTAACACTCCCAAGTTTGTGTCAGATAGAATGTACCTCCTTGTTTATTCCAAAAAGGAGTGTATGTATATATCACATGAAAATTTGGGGAGAAGCACATGGGAAGAAAGCAGACAGGTGAGTTTGTCCTTTCTATGAACTGCACAGGAGTTGAGGGGAACTGGCTAAAGAAGGAAAAGGCAGAGAAGAAGGAAAACTCACCAAAGAACTATCAACGTTTCCTTTTGTTTAATGGTTACTTCAGGAAAGGAGAAGAAAGGCAGGGAGGAGTTTGAGAGAAGAAGACAGAGGAGAAAGAAAGAACGGAAATGCTGGAGCAAGGGTAGGGTGTGAAGATGGAGAGTGGAGCCTGGCCCACCCTGGCTGTCAGGAAGGGAGGGAGAGAAGGCAAACACTGCGATCACTCCAGCACTCGGACTTTTCACCCCAATTCAACGACCAAGTCAACACTGCTTTCATTATAATATTCTCCCGAGAGACTAGAGCAAGGAGGTTTTACTTTGCTCTTACCCTGCCGTCATCTCTTTTACAGGTAGGATTCGTTCACTGTCTATAATAACTTAGTTTAAAAGAGGTATTTTCCCTCTAGGAATCTGTTCAGATTTGCTGGCCACAGATGTCTCCTATAACAAACTGGTCCCCCATTTGAATTCAGTAACCAAGGAACTCTTTTTTAAAAAAGAGAGCTGCTTTCCTGGGCAGGTGTCTGCACTTGTCCAACAAAACAATACTAACCATTTCTCAAATCTAACCTGCCACATGCACTGCGACAGCAACTTCATAAGCACAGGGGCTTCTTAGGGCAAAGACTAGACCTTTTCTGGGAAGACGCTAGGCTGCTACGTCACTCTCACCGGTGGCAGCCAGCCTTGCCTTAACATTTAAAAATCAGGTTCTGATGCCCATCTTTGCCTCCTCTTACCTGACCTTGTAGCTTCTCAACCTTTCCAAAGGGCAGGCTGAGGAAGGTAGTATTGGCAAAGCAAAAGCATTCTAGGGGGATAAAAAGGCCCTTCTCAGGAATGAGGCATAACTGACCCTACAGAACCCAAACTGGAAACACACGAAGGGCAACTCTTTCCCTTTACCTCAGCTCTAAGTAAAGGTGTACTCTTGCCTTGGGAGTCCTAATATGTGGCAGGAGAGAGAAATATCTGGAGAAAAATAGCATTAGGAATACATGAAATCCACCCCCAAAAAAGCAGGTTCACTTCACAGAGTAGGAAAGTAAGACTCCTAGGACACTCCCAGGGTGCAGGAAACTAGAGACTCATTTACAGAGGCCATCTGCTCCCAGCCAACGTCCCTCCCACACCTCTGCCCAGCTCACTGCTGAGTGTACAGAGTCACCAGACATTGTGTCATCAACAAACCTCCTCACCAGCCATTCACTACTTACTGCAGGCAGAGAGATTCAGAACTGCTCAGAAGAAAGGAAAAGATGGGGAAGGGGCTGTAGCTCTCAAACATGTCCTCCCAGAGAGTCTAAAGCCACTGGCATGCCTCTGGGGCCACACACTTTCTGAGGGAGCACAAGACATCACTTTGTATTTTCCACTGGACAGCCAGCTCTGTGGGACATGATACAGCACCACAGGTGCACAAAAACAGGCCCTAGAAAAGCTGGACTACAGCTGGCAACCCCAATGTCACCCCAGGACGGCTGCCACCGAGCCCAGGGGCACACCCATCTGTCTAGGCTAGTCAGGGACAGGGTGGTGGTAACAGTTGGCCAATTAATTTCTTTATGCTGGTCATGTTATAGGATGAGGATAGGGAGCCAGCTGGGAGCCTGAAGTACTTCGGATACAAGTCTCCTTCAGCAGCCTCCCCTTCACAGGGTGAAAGACAAAAACCTATCACCAAAAATTTCCCAAGGTTTTTCTGACTCTAGGTGCATCCAATAATCTAAGACTTCAGCTCCTGCTCTTTCCAGTGCTTCATGGTTTGCTGTGGTTCTGCTGCCACCATCTCCTCCCTTCTCTGACCCTAGGCCAGCCTGAGGGCACAGCCCTGGGGCACCGACTCCATTTGCTCCACCTTCGGTACCTCGGTCTTATGCCACGTGGGTGGATACATCAGGCTCTCTCCATCACTCTTTGTCTGTGAGACATAGACGGAAAAGCCACCGAGTAGAAAGGCTTGAAAACCTATCAAAGGGACCGATCAAGGGAACCAAAGGCTGTCTTGTTCCAATGGCTTTTCTGAGAATAGTCTGACTGGGCTGGGGCAGTTACCTACAGGGGCTACACCAGGCAACCATGTGACAACCAGTTAGGTACCTTAAATCTGCCTGAAAGGCCAGGTGGCCTGCGATCTTGGGGTGGCTTCTAGGCTTGACTTGGATTCTCCTCAAGCTCAATCTGCCTGATGATCTGTATTGAAGGAGGACAGAGCTGAACAAAGAGACTGACAGCTGCCCATTCACCGCATGGGGCCTGAAAGGCAGATGGGACTAGGGTTTGGAAAACACCCAAACAGAGGGAGAGAGCTAAGGACAGCTCTAAATGGCTAATGCAAAAAAGAAAAAAAAAAAAAACAAAAAACTTACGGGTAGGGGGTTAGGAACTGGCCTAAGAATTTTCCTTCTTTCCTTTAGGGATTGAATCCCAACATCCCTATAGTCCTCTTTGGGTACTTGGAAACCCCCGAAGGAACCAACCCCAATAGTAAGCTATTCTGTAGGGATGCCCTTACCGTCGGGAACCTCATCCGGCCTCTTCCTCTTCTCATACACAACAATGATCACCACAAGGATGATAATTTCAGCCAGAATTCCCAAAAAAGGCCAGAGTGGGGCCAGGTGGCTCCGCACCCTGAGGACAGTGACAACAGAGGCGGAGCCAATGGCGTTGGTGGCATTACATTCATATTCGCCAGGGTCTTCTGTGATCTGCAGGTTCACAATGTTCAACTCAGTGTAATTTTCCTTGTTGATGATGAAGAAGCGGCCAGAGGTATTGACAATGTCCTGCAAAAAAGCGGGAATACACGAAGGTGACTGAGTGACTGAGCTAATGTTCAAGGGGGGGTGACACTGCTCTCCGTACTTCTCAGGCACCAGCCAGAATGAGGGAGCAGTGTCTAGGAGCATTTCATTAATGATTTCCCTTCAGTATCAACAACAACAAATCAACACACTACTGACAGAGCCAGGCAAGCCTCTCTGACCATCGGTCCTCCAGACTTCCCCAGCTTCCACGAAGTGGTACAGGTCCTATTGCCTGGAGACTCAGAAAAGTCCAACAACCTAGTAAGTGCTGCCTCAAACACCAAGAAGAAACCACAGCTGAAAGAGGGCAGGGGGAGGAGGGGTGGGACCCCACAGTCAGGCATGTCTGGGGACCTCAGCTTGGTGAGTTCTGAGGAATCTCGCTATCCTCCACAAACAATGTTAGGAACTCACTCCTAGTCAGACTGAAGGAAATTCACAACTTTCCTTTCATTTAAGGACTACGGGGTTAGACGAAAGGTTATTCAATCAATCAATCAATCAATCAACAAATCTTTACGGCTGGGCACAGAGGCTCATGCCTGTAAGTCCAGCACTTTGGGAAGCTAAGGTGGGAGGATCGCTTGAGCCCAGGAGTTCAAGACCGGCCTCAGCAACAAACTGAGACCCCATCACTACAAAAAATCAAAAACAAAATTAGCTGAGCATAGTGGTGGTCCCAGCTACCTGAGAGGCTGAGGCAGGAGGATCACTTGAGCACAGAAGGTTACTGCACTCCAGCCTGGTAGGATAGAGCAAGACCCTGTCTTAACACAAAACAAAACAGACAAATGAAACAAAACAAATATATACTAAAATATGCTGCATGCTTTATGTCCTACTAAGGGTGGGTAGGAGGGAGAAAGTGAGATAAAAAGAGACACAAAAACGAATAAGGAGCTTGGCCTCAAATGGAAACCAGACATCCAAAACGGGATGGCTGATTACAGGAATGTGTTACAAAGCCCCAGCAGAAGGTGTGTATGGAGTGCTATAGGGCACGGTGAGTGGCCACTGCTGGAAAGAGTGGGGTAAGCTTCACAGCTGAACTAACATTTGCCCCAGACTGTGGAGGAGGACAGCGGATCACACAGGGAGGAGCAGTGCAGCCAGGGATTCCCATGGGTGCGAAGGCGGAGGGCTTAGGACTCAGCGGGATGGCTCACTGCACTTCGCTTATGAGATCCCGCAGGGAAAAAAACAGACTCGCGTGTCTTTACCCTGCAATAACTAAAGCACAATCAGAAGCAAGAGAGAAAAAGGGGAATATGATCCTGAAAACGATTCTAGATACAGCATACAATCTTGTCAGCATTTTAGTGCAGGTACGTCTGAAATGGGGAATTCGTAGCTTTTAGAACAGCTGGTCTGTGACGCTTCAAGCTTCATCGTTCAGGAGATTGAAACAGATACCGAGTTAATTCCAACACCTGCTTTGGCAAAAGCTCAAGGGCACTCCTTCCCAGCGACCAGCAGAGAGAGTGGACATTTCCTCGCCAGTATCTTAGAAAGTTCAGTGGAAAAGACTCAACTTGGCATCCACCTCTCCAATCCTCAACCTGTTCTCCCTTACTGATAGGTGTCTGAAATCTAGCCATCATCACTGATGCTGGAGTCACTGCCACAACTCAATATTTTATTATCGAAATGTCATTAAGTGGGAATAATAATGGACTTAAAATTTAAAAAAAACAAGATACAACTCTTGGTTTTGCCACTAATTTATCTTGGCTACTACGGAACCCTTCGAAAGAAGCTGGATTAATGATCTTTATAGTCCTTTTGGATTCCGAAGACTGATAATCAGAGAATGCCTGGGATAGGAGGAATGCTGACACCCTCTCTGACGGAAAAGGTAAATGGGTCAACCATCACAATGAGAGAGAAGGTGAGGGTGCAAAGTTCTGACTCCCCAAACACCATCATGAATCACCCCACAGATTGGAAGGGACGTTCTCTTTGACCTTTTCTGGGGCAAATACCATCAGGTTCCCAATGTCTAAGGCTCTAAGGCTGCTCTTGAGCCTCCTCAGGTTGCCCCAATTCCTTATCAGTATGTTCTGTGTTGTAGGAAAGTACTAATAATTTCCCTCAGTGCCTTGTTTCCCAAAACACAAGACAGGTACTAAGACCACTTCAAGAACAGACTTTCTTCAGGATAAATGGACGAGAATTAGGCTCAGTTCTTTCCGTGTCTTAAACTGAAGGCAAGTGATATGGTTTGGATTTGTGTCTCCACCCAAATTTCATATTGAACACTAATCCCTAGCGTTGGAGGAGGGGCGTGGAGGGAGGTGACTGGATCATGGGGGCCTATTGTTTAAGTGTGTAGCACCTCCCTCCTTCACTCTCTTCATCCTCTCCAGCCACCTAGGCCATGTCTGCCTTCCCTTTGCCTTCCACCATGATTCCAAGTTTCTCCACTTACAGGGATCACTTAGGTAGAAATAAACAGCAACTGCAGTCTAATAACTAGGTAAGTTTCAAGGATGAAAGAAGCCTGAGGGGGAGGCTAATTCTTTGGATTTAACTTTCTTTTAACTATATTACCTGTCAATGCCTCACCTTCTGTTACAGTAATCTGAAAGCAATAAAACTCAGAGCAGGTCAGATGTCACTCTGTTGTCTAAGATAGGAAAGATAATCTTTCCTGTGTTTCCTGAGGCCGCCCCAGCGATGCTTCCTATGAAGCCTGTGGAATCATGAGCCAATTAAACCTTTTTTCTTTATAAATTACCCAGTCTCTGGAAGTTCTCTATAGCAATGTGAGAATGGACTAACACAGCAAGCAATCTAATCTCTTACCAGATGGACAGCTTTAAAAAATCATGTACAGGGATTTCCGTGCTAGAAGAGACTGTCAGTGACCTCCTGATTCATGCTGCAAACCGTTCACGACTCTAGAAAGGGTGACCCTCGCCACACACACATCCAGGGATACAGCTGCTGCAGTAACTCACCCACATGTCTGGACCTCTGCAGGGAAAACTCCAGCGACCAGAGACCCGGGCCTGCCTCCTACTCACCATGGGCATCCCGTTCTCCTTCTTGCGCCATATCCAGTCTGGATGGGGGTAGCCGACTGACTTGCAATACATCGTGGCATCCTGCCCTTCATTCTTGTTCTCACTCCGTTTATGGCCAGTGATGTCAGGAGCAGCTGTGAGAAAGTGTTAGCCGCGGTTACCATGGAAGCCTACTCCAAACAGGATACAAAGGCCCCACCTTCTGGCTCAGATCCCTACTTCTAATGTCATCAGTCTTTATGCCTACTGTCATACTCAGCTCTGATGAAGAGCATTTCAGGTCAGAATAGGGTAAAGGGACCAACCCCATCCTCCACCCACACCCACTAAAGCTGCCCAGTCAGATATCAGGGTTACTAATACTAACACAGGTGATTCTCCAACCTACTGGAAAAGGATGCAGGCCCAACTGCCCTCAATTAAGGCCTCCTTTAAAGAAAATGCAAACAAACGCTATTATCATCTCTTCTACCAGCCCAAGTTTTTTCTTTAAGCACCTTCACAAACAGGCTGGGTATGGTGGCTCATGCCTGTAATCCCAGCACTTAGGAAGGCCAAGGTGAGTGGATCACCTGAGATCAGTTCAAAACCAGCCTGGTCAATATGATGAAACCCTGTCTCTACTAAAAATACAAAAATTAGCCGGACATGGTGGCAGGTGCCTATAATCCCAGCTATTCGGGAGGCTGAGGCAGGAGAATCACCTGAACCCGGGACATTGAGGTTGCAATGACCCCAGATCGGGCTACCGCACTCCAGCCTGGGCAACAAGAGTGAAACTCTGTCTCAAACAAAGACACCTGCTTGAACAATTATGCATCCTGTCATATGTCACAGATTCCCTGATGGAAATGAGATTCTGAGATCAAACAACCACAATCAAGTCCCATTACAAGGTATGTAAAAACAATGAGTGCTTGGAAAAGCTACTCAATGAACAGCAATGACCAAGTTTCTCCTAGGAAAGAGTGAATCCAGAAACTGGTCTTCACAAGGAGGAAGAAAGGAGTTAACAGGAAATTCAACTAGTGTCCCAAGAGGTTTTTTTTTAACTAACTGATTGAGATGGAGTCTTATTCTATCAGCCAGGCTGGAGCATAGTGGCACGCTCACTGCTCACTGTAGTCTCAAGCTCCTGGGTTAAGTGATCCTCCCACCTCAGCCTCCCGAGTAGCTAAAACAATAGGCACATGTCACTACAGCTGGTTATTTTTAAATTTCTTGTAGAGACAGGGCCTTACTATATTGCCCAGGCTGGTCCTGAACTCCTGACCTCAAGTGATCATCTCACCTTGGCCTCCCAAAGTGCTGGGTTTACAGGTGTTTGTATCTGCACCTGGCCCCACGAGCTTTTATTAACAGCTTAAGAATCTGCCCTGGACACCTGATTTGCAACAATTTCCTAGACTGAACCCACTATAGAAGGAATTTCAAGACATGCTAGAGGCCACTGGTCTTCTCTATTTATAGGGATCACTTAGGAAGAAATAAATAGCAACTGTAGTCTAAAAATTAAGTAAGTTTCAAGGATTGAAGAAGCCTGAAATGGAAATGAATTCTTTGGATTTAGATTTCTTTTATCTTAACTATATTACCCACCAATGCTTCATCAGTTACATTAATTTTTTTTTTGACAGAGTTTTGCTCTTGTCACCCAGGCTGGAGTGCAGTGGTGCAATCTCACCTCACTGCAACTTCTGCCTCCCGGTTTCAAGCGATTCTCCCACCTCAGCTTCCTGAGTATCTGGGATTACAGGCATGTGCCATACACTCAGCTAATTTTGTATTTTTAGTAGAGCTTGGGTTTCACCATGTTGGTCAGGCTGGTCTCGAATTCCTGACCTCAGGTGACCCACCTGCCTGGGCCTCCCAAAGTGCTGGGATTACAGGCATGAGCTACCATGCCCAGTCAGGTTACAGTAATCTGAAAGCAATAAAACTCAAAGCAGGCTGATGTCACACTGTTATCCAAGATAGGAAAGGGAACTGATATGTATTGGTCCAAATTCCAGTTTGTTGGTTCTTTCATTATTCTGGGCTTTGCTGCTATAGCCATTATCAAATGGAGACATCTTGTGTCCTTGCCTACCGCCCAGTGTTCTTGAATTGATAAATAGGATGTCGCAACATTCATCTTGAGACTGTAGAAGCCTGTACGATTGCACCATGGCTAATCTCCTAATCTCATGTTCTACCTTTGACTGGCTTGGTTTTTCTTGGCTTAAAAACAATGCAAAGTTCTACTGCTCCACAGAATGTGCTTCCCAAGCACAAACTGGTTTTACACTCACCCTTCAGAGACACCTGGATGGGCATGGACTAAGCAAGGCCCCAAGCTGTCTCTGTAACCAGTCCCTGCCAAACAGAGGCATGCTCAGTGCCTCTCAGTGTGAAGTGTTTTCTAGATAGGATGTTATAAAGGAAGTATCTTTTTGTTTTTTCCAGGCAAGATTTCTAACTATAGAAGGAAGTGGTCAACCTGGCTCTATCTCATTCCCACAAAGCCAGACTTTTCCCACAGCTACTCAGTCACTTCTCAGGCTGACTATTCAACCTGGTCACCCTTTCTCAGAGCTTACTTCAGTCAATAAATACCAAGGACTCCAAGGAACAGGCTCCACAGTCACAAAGGACTCAGCACGTCCGCACGGCGACATAAGCATAAGGGCTCCCATGTGCTGCTCCATCCCTGCTTCATTCATCTGGCAGACACCTGCTGCTGAACACCCACTACATGCCAGATATGTCAGACTGGTTGGGTAAGGCTTTTGTGATGAGGTGAACGTTAGCATGATTGTGAACAAAATAAGGGAGTATGTACAAGGTTTGGGACCTGTGATAAGTAAGGAATGTTCACTTTCTAACAGGCCCAGGAATCCCGAGTTATCTTGAGACCTCAAGAGGAGAGGAATTTGCCCAACTCATAAGTATTTGACGGTACTAACCCATGGCTAGGCTTGGCTTTTAAAAAGTCTTATCTGAGCTTCTTCATGGGACAGAGTTCTATCAAAGCCGATTTAAAAAGCCAAAGTGAAAAATAATTATTCTTGCTGTACTTTATGCAAATACTCAGGCATGTACAGTAAGACTAACGTTTATGTTGTAAACAAATCAGTTCTAACATCATTTGTTTTTAATAAAAGTGGGTACTGGAGAGAGAAAAACTATGCTTCAAAAGAAAAACTATAGGCTGGGTGTGGTGGCTCACGCCTGTAATCCCAGCACTTTGGGAGGCCGAGGAGGGCGGATCACAAGGTCAAGAGATCGAGACCAGCCTGGCCAACATGGTGAAACCTCATCTCAACTAAAAAATACAAAAATTAGCTGGGCACGGTAGCACGCACCTATAGTCCCAGCTACTTGGGAGGCTGAGGTAGGAGAACTGCTTGAACCCAGGAGGCGGAGGTTGCAGTGAGCTGAGCTCGTGCCAATGCACTCCAGCCTGGCACCTGGTGACAGAACAAGACTCTGTCCCCCACAAAAAATAAAAAAAAAGAAAGAAAAGAAAAACTATAGTACACTGTTGTTAGTTGTTCTTGAGGTTTTTGTTTCTGCAGTTTAGACAAAATTCTAAATTCTTTGTGGGTTAGAAGTCCCCAAACTAATGCTTTCAAATCATTACTTTTAAAATTGGGAACTATACTCCTCATCCTAGGACTGGTTATTGACCCTATAGTAGGCTGTTCACTTTAACACTGCAGTAAAGCTACAGATGAGAACACTAATGCTTTTGATGCACAAGCCTCGGAAGCCCAGTCAGGCCTGCAATGAGTACACTCAACACAGTTGCAAAGCGGCTCCACATTTCTCACCTTGGGGTTCACTCCTGTTCCCACTATGGCCCATCAGCAGGAAGAAGCCAGAGAGATCAAAGGCCTTTTCCCATCTTCACAGCCTACACTTTAAGATTAAGGTGTTATAAAACCCAAAGGAAGGGACTGAAACTGCCTTTGAGACAGTCAAAGAGATCTAACTTAACTGAATCCATCTTGCTTCTAACCTCCAAGCCGTCCTTGTTCGTTCCTGAGCCTAAGCTGAACTAACTTTGGGAGAAACTTAGTTTACAGTTTAAACAAAGATGGTAACAGTCCTTTCCCAAAGCAGACCCCCTTCTTGCCTAGAAACTAGATTGCCTTTGTAGGACTCACCTTAGCCACAAGATTAGCAATTATGGTTTAGGAGTCATGCAGCTGGAAGCTACAAGATTCTGGCCCTCCCTAAACTGCTCCTAAGATCAGGGCTTGAGATATTTTGCAGACCCTGCGTCTGATGGATCAACTGGCCCCACCCAGATCAATAAACGGGTTCATTTGATCTTGTGGCCCCCACCCAGGAACTCACTCAGCACAAGGAGACAGCTCCAACTCTGACCAATCAGCACTCCTGGCTCACTGGCTCCCCCCCACCCACCAAGTTATCCTTAGAAACTCTGCTCCCTGAATGCTCAGGAAGACTGATTTGAGTAACAATAAAACTCACACCAAAAACGAAAAGAAGGGAGTAGGTCACACATATTTATAGGAAGAACACTCTAGGGCGAGGGAAATGCAAAGGCCTTGAGGTAGGAGTGTGCTTGTTATGTACAAGGAATAGCAAAGAGGATTTCATTGGAACATAGTAAGCAATGAGAAGACAGCAGGAGATAGAAGAAATCAGAGAGACTGGGGACCCAAATTAGACAGGACTTTGTAGGCCACCATAATGACTTTAGCAGTTACACTGAGTCAGCCAGAAGCCACTCGTGAATACTACAAGCAAGTATAAAACGATGGGTGTGTTTTAACAGGCTCCCCGTGGCTACTGTGTGAACAAGAACTGCAGAGAACAGTGGAAGCCAGACCAAGGCTATTAGAGTAATCCAGGCAAGGGAGAGGTGGCAGCAGGGCCCCTTGGGGGCAGTAGCAGTGGAAATAACCAGAAATGGTGAGATTCCAGGTATATGTTGGAGGTTGAGTTAATATATTTGCTAATGGATTGAATGTAGACCGTGAGAAGAAATGGAGTCAAGGATGACACCAAGGTTTTGGCCGGAATAACTGTGCGAATGGAGTTGACAGTTACTAAGGATAAGGAAGATTACAATAATAAGAGTGGTTTTTTTTGTTTGCTTGTTCTTATTTTGCTTTGTTAAAAG